GGGTCCAGTAAAGATGATATCTGAAAGTGATTAAAATCACTATCATAGAAAACGCTTCAATGCAAATCTGTAGATAATGATTAATTTTAAAAAATTAATGGATTGTTCCAAAAGCTACATGATCTCCTATTTCCTTATTTATATTCTGATTACAAGCTTTCTGATTTATAAGTGTAATATATAAATAAATATATATAAATATTTATAATGTATAAATGAAAAAAGGGAAAATGGTTTTATTTAAAAAAAAAGTATGTCGAATAAAAGAGGAATATAAATAGTATTTATCATAAAACAATTGTATTGATCTATATATTTTTCAAAAAGTTATAGCAATTTAAAGTTAAAAATGTAAAATATAAAATCGAGAATTTTCACATAAAAATAACATTTGGTAGCCTCGTAAAACCAAAGTAAAGTCAGAAATTTTTTTTTTTCATAATAAAGTATATTACATTAGCTTTAATTTAATATATATATAAAAGTGTCAAACTTTTCGAATCACTTTCAAAGTTAATTTAATATGAAAAAGTTGTCATTTTTAATCCCTCCCTGTGAACAGGTAAAGGGTCATATTTATAAAAAAAAATACCAAATAATAGTTAAAAACATCTATAAAAAGTAAAATTATTTTGATTTGGTCATTTTTAATAAAATTATGACAGTTATAAGTAAAGCAAATTGAAAAAATTTTAAAAATAATTCATTTTTAAGTTTGTTATTTTTTTGGATATTTCCCCCATTTACAGGAAACGAGGAAAATTTTTTTAATTTTTAAGGGTAATGCCTTTGACTAGATATGATTTGTGATCCTTAGACGTATCGTTGAAAAAATCGGTTCGTTAAGAGCTGAGAAAAAGTTATAACAAAGACAAAATCTTAGTAAAATTAATACCTTCTCAGCTTCTCATCGAAGTTAAAAGCTTATCTAATAAATTTAAAAAACCGATGTTGTACTTCAATTAATAGATATTATTACATGACAATATCTATGATTGATAAACTTTTACCGTTTTTATATATTTTCATTTCATTATGTATATTTAGTTTTACAGTATAACTAATCTCAATTTACCATTATAGAGTTATTATGTTAAGGGTATAAAATATTTACTAAACATAATAATAATCAATGACTTATTGTAAAATTTTTAATTATACGTTTAAAATAATCAATTTTAATACGTGACTAATATTATAATTGCCGAAAATAAAAAAGTGGATTATTTTATGTCGTGTTTATACTTGAACAATGGAAATGCTGTTTATTTATACCAAAACAAATAGATAATTGTTATTTTAATTTGTTAGTAAAAATATTAATATAACCAAATATTTATGCCTAGATGCCATTATAATTAATTTTTTTTTTTTTGATCATTACTTTTAATTTTAAGGTAAATATTTTTAAAATAATAACATTAAAATTAAAAGTGAGTAAACAATTAATGAATGATTTTATTTGATATAGCTGTTTATTAGTTTATATTTTCATACCACATTCATAGCAATAATATATAATTGTTTTTTGAACATTTTTTTAGATTTATTAGTAAAATTATAATAAATGATTAGAATTTTCCAAGTAGAATGTGATGAAATTGTTTTGGAGAGAGATGAAATAGATATCTAGAATCTAGTTAAGGAAACAGAAATAGAATTTTTAAAGACAGTAAAAGAGAGAACGGTGTGGAATGTCGTAGGAGTCAAAAATAACTAAACGAGGAGTATCCAAGAAAGACATTAGGAGATATTTAATTGAACAATTGACAAGTAGGTTTAATTTGTAGGAAAGAGGCATTGAAGGATGTGGCATCAATCAAAAAGAATAAAGTAGTAATACCAGATGAAGTTTTAGTAAAAATATAGAAATATTACACGGTGTTGACATAAGGTGGTTGAAGAATCTTTTTAATAAAGTCCTATTAGAAGGAAAAATGCTATAGGAATGGAAGAATACTATTGTGGTGGCAATATTTAAAGGCGAAAAAGATATACAAGAGAGTGAAAATTAATAAATTAATGAGAAAAAAAGTTCCATAAAGGTAAATTAATATAATAGGGAATTTGTGTCATATACTTGTATTAGGGTAAAAAGTGTCGTTGGAGTAACAGAAGATTTTGGAGTATGAGTAGGAGAGCACTAAGGTTCTGCTTTATGTTCTTATTTATTTTCTAAAGTAATGGATGAAATTAATAGAAAAATACAAGGAGAGGTACCGTCGTGCATATTTTTCGCTGACAATATTGTGTAAATAGAAGAGAATAGAGAAGAAATTAATGAAAGACTAGAAGTGTAGAGATCAGCTCTTGAAGAAATGATTTTAAGAATAAGTAGGGTCATGTAAGTGGTAAGTAGGAGTAGAGCAATAGAAAATAAAGAAGGAGAAATTATTTATGAGCAGGAAGAGGTTGTAGATAGATGGAAGGAATATATAGAAGCACAATTTGTTACAGATTTAGCGACAATGAATTATATGGAACAAGATGTAGAGTATGTAGAATTTCCGGTATTAAGAGGAGAAACTGACAAAGCATTAAGAGACTTAAAACCAAAGAAAGCAGCAGGAATAGATGAGATCCAGGTTGAGCTTTAGAAGGAATCAGCATAAAATATGGTAAATGAATTATTTAAACTCATTAGATATATTTAAAAAACGGCGGATATAACTACCAACTTTGTAATGGGTAAAATTATTTCCATTCCAAAGAAGACATCAGCTAAATTATGTGAACAATATCGAACAATTAGCTTGTTTTCGCACGTCTCAAAGATTGAGAATGGAAAGAAGATAAAAGAAATATAATCAGAGGACCAATTCGGATTTAAAAAAATATGGGTACAAGAGAAGCGATATTGACTTTAATATTAATAGTGGAAAAAAGAATACGGAAAGATGAATTGACGTTTATTGCGTTTATTGAAATTCAGAAGGCATTCGATAATGTTAACTAGGAAATATTCTTAAAAATGCTGAAAAGAGCTGGAATTGGAACCACGGAAAGAAACTACTATATGAATTGTATAAAAATGAATTGGCAATCATAAAAATGGTAGATATTCAAAAAGAGTCGAAAATAAAGATAGGTGTTGAACATGGATGTACATTATCACATTCAATATTTAATGCCTACAATCACGAGGCTATAGATATTATAAGAAAGAGGACATAGCTGTAAATGGTTACAGAATAGACATGCTGAGATTCGTGGACGACATTGCAATAATAGCGGAGAATGAAAAAGATTTTAGGAATACTGGAACAGATGATGAAAAAAGATTTACATATAAAAATAAACGCAATAAAAGATGAAAATCCTAGTATGTAGTAGAGATAATAACTTAAGAATAAAATTAAAGATCGATGAAACTGTAGAACAAATAGAAGATTTTTCATATATTTGGATAGCACTATAAACTCAGATGGGAGATGCAAAAAGGGAATTATATAGAGTATATCCCGAGCTAGGTTGGCATTTAATAAGAAAATAAGTCTTTTTACTTCAAAAAATATTGATCTTAATGTTAGAAAGAATATACTAAAAACGTACATTTTGAGAATCGTGTTATATGAATGCGAAACATGGACTATTATAGGAGAAAAAATGAGAAGAATAAAGGCATTCGAAATGTGGTGCTACAGGAGGATAGAAAAGATAATTTGGACTAATATATTTAACATTGAAGAATTTTTAGAAAGAGTATCTGAGAAGAAATTAATATGGAAGAGTATACAGAAAAGGCCAAATGAATTAATAGGTCATAAGATACAACGGGTTGCTATTATTAATCTTAAAAGGAATAATCGATAGGAAAAGCCATAGAGGAATACTAAGATTGCAATACATAAGTCAGATAATATAGGATCAAGGATGTAATTCATATCAAGAGTTGATGAGGATAGCTAGTGACGGAGAAACATGGAAACGAGGACGTGATAGGAGAGGTGGGAAGTTTTAAGTATTTAAGATCAGTTGTGCAAAAGAGCGGTGATATTTACAAGGATATAGGACAAAGGATTATGTGCGGGTGGGTGAAGTTGAGAGAAGCGACTAGTGTGTTATGCAATATGAAAATTTCAATGAGGCTGAAATAATGAATAAAGTTAAAGATAATGGTGACTGATCTCAAGTAGTTTGATTAAAAGCTTGAAAATAAAGATAAAATATTGTAGAGTTTTTTGAATCAATCAATATTTTTCTTCAAAAAATAAAAAAAATTACATCGTTTCCGAGGAAATGAGTGTCTTATCCTTAATGAATTACTCTATATACAGAATGTTCCCCTGAAGTATACCTATTTGAAGAATACCTATTGGCAATTACAATGTGACCTACAAAATAACTTGTCAATAAATAATAATATATACAAACGCCTTTTTATTTAATTTTACCTTTCACAATCATTGAGTGAGATTATAGTTTGTCCATTACACATAACTATTTTAGGGGTTTCATAACCTCACTCTAATAAAGACCACTCTAATACAACTGTCTATATATAGCTCAATGTTGGTAGTTCTTTGCTAGAAAGGAAAATAATTGTTACTTCAGCATATTCCTTTATACTTATTATTATATTTTCAAAGAATTAAACGAATGAAAATACAACGTGTATAATATAAGAAATAAAAACATAGAAATAAATGTTCCACAAAATAGTATAAATAATGAATGTGTTTTTTGTGTTAAGTACTTATATTATATTCTCTTATTATTTATACAAATCAATTATAGTAGAAAAAAATAAATCATGAACCTATTACAATTTTAGTTCCATATATTTCTTAAGTTCTGAGTTATTTATTACTTTTTTAATTCCATTTTTTCTTATAAGAGCGTCATTTTTTTTTTTTTTACATAAAATAAATATTTAACTAGCATATAAAATAAAAAAAACCAGCTAATTATAAAAATGATATGTCGATAACAACTTTTGACCCATAATTTTGGAAATAATTACCAATATATTGGACTCGCAAACTGGTGATGAGGTGAAAACATGACATTATTTATCATTAAACATCTCTCCTTCATTCAAAGTGTGAAAATGTTTATAACTTTAGAGAGTCTAGCGTTAAGATAATTGCGCTGTGTATTTTTTTATTTATAAAGCTGTGAACTGAACTTTAATATGATAATTTATTAAGTAAAATTAGATTGCTTAATTTAGTGTCTTTTACAAAAATACCAACTTGTACTGGGTAGTATAAATTAAGAATAAGTCATTTGTGTTGTAGTTCGCAAATTAACATATATGATTCTTTTAAAAGTTTAAATACGAAGTATTTACGATTTAAATATATTAAATATTTGTCATTTAAATTACAGAACATTTTACAAATAAATCAATAATAATACAAAGGAATAGTTATATCGTAAGTTATTTTGTTTATGAATTTTTTAAATTTTAAATTGCTTTTTTGTAAAATATAAATTTTGGGCCTAACTTTTGGTCTCTAAGCCATAAATGTAAAGTTAACATTTACAATAAAAATGTTAAACCTAGTTTTATCTATAATTGTTATATAATAGAACTGTTTTAATGAACTATAACATATTAACAAACATTATATGAGTTGCATACGAATAAGCTTGAACAATAATTAATTAAATAAAATATATGTATAAACAACTTACATTATATTTTTTATTTCATAATTATTATCAAATAAATTACTTAACACATATTTAATTTTAATTTTTATTCCATATTTAATAAAAGCGCCAAGGTTTTTGAATTAAAAATAATTATGTCTATTGCTATAATTAATAGATTGTGAGCAATTTTAAATCAAATTTATTTAATTTCTGTAAGTTTTTTTTTTAAATTTATTAACTTGTAATTTATCATTTTATCTACAGTTGGTATAGTTAAAATGAAAAATATTATTAACAGACAAATCATTTTACTAAAAGTAATTATTTCAAATGCAATCATTATTCATCCTGTGGATGAATGTAATTCGAAAACAGATGATATAACGTTTATTACAATCAATAATTTAAAAAAACTTACAAGAGAGTATCCTGCATTTATAAAATTAACTTTACAGGAGCATAAATATTACACTGAATCCGGTGCATCTCTTTGTCCTTTACCTTATGAAAAAGAAAATGTAATAACAGATCCTACTGTTATAACATTTCTTGAATTTCATAATATTAAATTTGATCCCAGAAAATGTGAAAAACCTTGGACGTGGACGCAGCATAATGAATGTCTTGTACCAATAATTTTCAGTACCACAGGAGAAAAATTAGGAAAAATCATTCAACCGTGCCTTAAAGATAATATCAATATTATTCAGTGTTATACTCTCTATCTCAATGTTATAGAAAGCTCTAGTGTAACTTTAGTTGACAGGTTTTGTTTGTTTGTAATTATTGCTATTGACAACATTGAACAAATCGAGAATGATGAAAGTTTATTTGATTTAATTAGAGATACTAGTATTTCACTTCTTTCTATTGAAACAACTGTAGTTATAGAGTGGTTTAAATTGCTATTAGAATATATGTTTATTGCATTTCATCAGTATTTTATTTCTACACTACCTCTTGATTGCATTAAAAATGTATTGGAGAAATACATGCATAATAACCAATCATTCAATAAGCCCATTGAAAATAAAATTGAATGTAGAAAACATCTTTTAGATTGCATGAAAATTACAAAATTAAAAAAAAACTATGTTCTTTTAACGGATCATGAAAACTGGAATTGGGATATCAATTCTGAAGAAAAACCTGAATTTGATTTAATACTAAAATTCAGTCAAAAAAACAATGATATCGGTCTTGACCTTTTTAAGCAAAATGTAATAAATAATAATTATTAATATAAATTACTTGTATTGAAAAATAAATTTCTTGTCATACAAAAATTACATTGTCATATTATTGTACTTATGTTAAAGAGTACTGCACGTTTAACTTATTTTGTAAAATCATAATTTTAATACAATTTATCAAATAAATTTCAATAAGTGTAATTTTATTTTGCCAAATGTTGAACTAGAGTTGATCTGTAAAACCTCCACATGAGATAATACGTACATATTTAAAAATAACTTATTATAATGTATTTAGTGATCCCATTTTTAATTTTCTTGAATCAACTTAAAAGAATAATATAGAAATACAGAAAAAATGTTAAAAAGAAAATTAATATAATAATCCTTCTAAATTCAGTCATAGTATATTATAAACATTATGAGTGACTATAATTGATAACAGAATTACAAGATAATAACGAAACATATAATCTCTTGTGTTTGATAGTACTTGTACTAAGGTAAAAAGTGTCGTTGGAGTAACAGAAGATTTTAGGGTATGAGTAGGAGAACACTAAGATTATGCTTTATGTCCCTATTTATTTTCTAAAGTGATGGATGAAATTACTAGAGAAATACAAGGAGAGGTACCGTCGTGATCAGGAATTTATATATATTTTACTATAAACAGTAAATTTATGAGGAAAACTCACATTTCGTTAAAATGACTAATTTTTTTATATTTTTATTGTAATAAAGCATTTGAATAAAAGTCTTGGTAATCATTTCTATGTCACTTTTGGTGTTTAAATAGATGCTACAATTTAAATATTCAGAACTATATACTGTATAGTTATTTCCTATAGTATTCTATAATATACTGATATTCAGAATTATTCTGTGCCTAGTTTCACTTATAATTTCGTTTATTGTTGTGTTATTGAATTTTAGTTTAACCTATATCTTTTTTGATTTTTTTTTTTTATGAAAATAAGTATTTGAACTAATTATTAATAATATCAAAAATGAGTGGTGATAGAAAAAATCTAATTGCTGATTTTAAAATAGCACGAAAAATTGAATAATAAAAGTATATTTTAACTCTTATGATAATTATTTGTAAACAATTTATTCATAATTAACCACAAATAATTTTTTGAAAATTTTTATATCAAGCCTTCAATATTTATACATGTTTGATATTTAAGTAACAACTAGTTTATAATTTTTTATAAATTTTCCATAAAAATTACAATAATAAATTATTAAATATCAATTTCATACTACGTTGAATTTCTTTAATAGATATGTATTTATATATTATACTTATAAATCATAAAACTACTTATTAAGAATAATGATAGAATAAACAAAATCAATTATAACGTATTTTTTAGACTTTTACATTTTTTTTACTGTATGTAGTGTTTTTATGAGCTATTTATTTAGAAAATAACATTGAGGACATTATTTTTGAATTTCATGTAGAGTTTCCTTTACTTGAATTTTACTTTCTGAATTCTAAGTTAAGTTAATGAAAAGTTATGAGATACAGATCAGTTATTTCTATTAAATTTGCTTCTTAAACTCAACTTAATATGTATGGGGGCATGGGTTGACCTTAACGGATCGGTTCCAAATATTGCACAGCTCACTTTTGTCAGAATGAAAAAGATATAAGGGGTAACTTAATAAAAAAAAAGACGCCCTAATACAAAAAATCATATTTTGAGGGACTAGAGAAAACCAAATCCTTTAAAAAAATTCATAAGAGGGAATTTTATTGTAAAATAGTTAAAAATTAATCAAACATAATATATTTATTTTACAAATAGAAACAAAAATGAATAATACAACATGAGTAATTCAACTAAAAAGCGATTGGTTTTTTTTTTTGTAGTTATTAAATTTTAATTATAAAGAATTAATTTGATATTGAATAAAAACAAAAATAAAAAACTGTTTTAATAGTTTAGAATATTAGGTTTATTTGACATTAAATAAAATTTTATATCTGCACGTTAATATGATTTATTTGTCAGTAAAATATTAATAAAAATAATAAAATTACGTAATATATAATTTTCACTCCTAAATTTAGTTATTAAGTCTAAAAATTAGTTTTAAATTATAAGTGTCCATATTTTTATATTATTTCAAATTAACTATTTTATATTATTTCTATTTATAAGATATGAATTGGAAATTGAATAGAGGAAATATTTATTAGGGACGTTTACAAACTGGATACAATTAGTTTAATATGAGCAATATTTTTAGACAAAAAAAAGAAGTTTTAGAATGCATAATGGAAACATATGCACATACGTGACGAATGGTTAATGGAGCACAGTTTTCATTAGATGAACTGTAAATCGTGTATTATTAATGAAATGGTAAATTAGAGCTTCATGACATGAATTTTTATCTCTTGGGGGTATAAATATACGAGTATTCTATTGTACACATACTTTTATTTTTCCTGTATTTTGTATTACTGTTTTTTAATTTTTAAATTTTTATTGAATGAATAATATTAAAAATTATTGTATTTATTAAAGATACATACAATAAAAACGTGAAATGTTAATTGCTCCAATAAACGTTGAAATAAATAAAATTATATCAAAAATGAAATATATTGCGTAGTATATTTCATTAAATTCTATTATTGTATTAAAGCAGTAATAAAATTTATTAAAGCTATATCTTAATCATAAGCATACTATAATATACTTAAAATATAGATAAAGAGAGCATACTCTACAGAGTGATCAGTTTATCATAAACCACTCGATTACTCACAAAATATATACAATATCAGAAAAAACAATTTTGTTTTATTTTAGTCAAACATATTTCATGATTTATCAGCTAATAATGACTTTTTAGAATCATGCCTTATAGCTTAAAGGGGTGTCAACTTTATTTTTATAAATGGCAACATACTTGTTTAACTAGCTTAAAAAATAGAAAATAATCTAATTAAGAAAATGACTGGTTGATAACAACTTTTGAACCAGTACTACGGAAGTTTTTTGTCATTTTTATACCTAAACTAGACGAAGAATACGGCCGGGAAATGANTTGTCATTTTTATACCTAAACTAGACGAAGAATACGGCCGGCTAGTGTTAAAAATAGCAACTCCCATTCTTCACCTCTAGTTCTTAACTCCTGAATTTCTGGTCCAAAAGTTGTTATCGACCAGTCCTTTTCTTGATTTTTTTTAATGAAAAATTTATACTAGCTTATATAATAAAAAATGATCTAGTAACAAAAATTACTTATAATTTTAGCGTCAATGCTAAGGTAAAATTATACCAATTAAAACTTATTTTGTGTTTATACATATTAATACTCAGCTCTCACTTAATCAACTATGATGATACATGCCGTATTTTTCTTTAATAATAAATAAATAAATGTTTTATTATTTTTTTTTAATTTAATAATAACGATTTTTTAGCTATTTTCTTACGAAAAAATTCGATTGGACAATAACAACTTTAAGATAAATATTTATTGGGTTACAATTATTTAACACACAAAGTGGGTATGCAGAGTGGGTGAAGTGCACATACAGCAGTACCAGTTTTATTTACTCGTATTTATACGAAAAATATTAGCTGGATCAAAATCTATTAATAGATGTTAAAATATGCAGGTCATTCAATATATTATCCATATTTTAAATTTTTGATTCCTAAAGTGTGATTGGATTTATACATCATAAAAATGAAAACAATTTATTTTGTCTACAATATTTTCAAGAAATAAGTGGCTTTAATGTTTTTATGTTTGATTTTCATATTGAATAACGTATTGACAGAGCTAACATGGTGGTCTGTGCTTGTGTATTATTGACAAGACATTGTTTCTTGACGTAAAAAATCTTATAATATTTTTTACGTTTGTTTAAGCATACATGACGTATCTTATATATTTTTCAGTAATACAGTTTGATTGAATTAACTACGGTGGCTGAAGAAAAACACCAGATAAAAAACTAAATAATTTTATCACTGCATCGTATTTTATATAAACTAATGACAATAAAGCGGTGACACGGTTTCACTTAGTTTTTGAATTGCTTTAGATTAAGAACGTTATTTACCAGTTACATTATTTCAGTGTTGTAATACTATAAGCCACGAATCAACATGCATCAATTGTTTCCTAAATAAACTATCTAACGTACATTAAATGAATATGCCATTAATTTGATGTAAAAAAAAAACGTAGTTACATAAATAAGAAATAAAGTATTGCATTTAAAAACTCATAACCACTAATCAATTCAGTTTACTGTAATACTATCAATGTTAAAAATCGCAAATTATCATATACTTTAATTCGTAATTACATTTAAAGATCCCACCAAAAAGTAGAAACTAAAATAGTAAACTAAAAAAATCTAACACCCTACCGTTTAAATGTATTCTTAAAATTATTATTTCTTGATTTAAAAAATATTTATTATATTATAAAAGTAACCTTAGCCCAACCAATAATTTGTAGGTATTAATGTTTCTTTTCTTTTGGCCGTAACCGAAAATGCTTATATCAGATGTGTCTAGTAACTTGCTTGCGTAAGTTTTCTTCTAAGGATTGCGAAGCTAAATAAAAAACGCATCGTCGGCGACCTCAGCGTGCGTCGCCCCCGATCACCCATTGTGAGCCTTCTGGTGAATAGGTCGTATTATAAGCCACAGAGTCGGTGAATGTTTGTTGTGTTGTACAGTGTGTGCGGTGCAATATAATATGTATTATTGTATACAATTACAGTTGAATAACATGAACTGCAGAGGACCGCACGCGTTTATTATATTTGCGGACACCCAACGGCATCTGTGACGGAACACGCTCCACCTATGGTCCGGTACCATTGGCAAGTTATCAACCGGGTCGGTTAACCACGCCTAATAAACCCACACCCGTCAGTACAGTATATGACTTATTGAAGCGCATGTCGTGGTATGCACATCAATTAGGCCTATAACGTTAAATAATTAAAATTAATGACGACTTTACTAAATACATAACATGTTAGTTCATATGACAAATTATTGTTTTTATGGGGCTATTGTAAAGTAATTGCAGATCACGCAATTTACAAAAGAAACTACGTGCATACGTGAAACATTTATACAAAAAATGTCGAGTAGTTAAATAATTATATAGACATTTGTACGATATAATGTGTACTACTAATATTAAATA